TGACATTAAGTTGTCACACTGACACATGTAAGGAGTTTAGCATGATGCCTAAAGCAGCAGGTGGGCCGTGAGTCTGAGCCCCCATTCCTTCTCCACTTCCATCCACCCACTGAGCTACTGCCACCACCTCCAGCCTTTTTGCTGACGACATGGCCCTTTCCTCCAGGGCCTTACGTCTGCCTGCTCTCTCGCCTGGTTCTAGGGCCCGAAATACCTTTTGCTCTTGGCCAGTTTCTAACATAAGATGTAGGGCTTATCCCTCAACTGGTCAACCTCTGCTGCGCAAATCTTCTTCTGTCTCTCTTTCTATTCCTAAGTCAGCCATCACAGAGCTTCCTGCACAGTAGTTAGGGACAGAGACCCAGGCATCTGACTGCCTGGGCCTAAGTTTTGATTCTACTACTTATTAAGTAGGTCGCCTTGGGCACATTATTTAACCTCTCGGTGCCTCAGTTTTCTCATCTGTGAAGCGGAGATGATCATCTTGATTATCTCATGGAATTGCTATGAAGATTAAGTGGGTTCAGGTATCTGAAGTCCCTAAAATGGAGCTTGGCCCCGAGAAAGTCCTACATGAGTGGATATTATTGCTGTTCTTTATGAAGGTTGGGTCTCCTTTTCTCCTTATTATCTGAGGCTCCCACCCCACCTTTTAAATGAGTGCTTTTAATGACTTTTAATGATGAGTGACATTCTCATCACCACCACCCACTGGACACAGTCATCTCCTCCTTGACCCGTATGTTATCCACCATCTTTCTCCTTCCATTTTGGGTTCACAATATATGTTCTCTTAGAAAAAAAATGATTGGCTTTACAATGATCACTTAGAAATGTTTAACCAGTCAGATCCACACTTAATCTAGACAGCATCAATCTGCAGTCACGAGAAAGGCCAGGGTGACTCAGATTCTCGATCACACAGAGGGGAGGATGTTCTGTCATAGCTCTCCAATTCCTATTAGCCTTCTAATTTGCAAATCATATCAGGTGTCTTTCTCAAGAGTGAGAGCAAGACAGAATCATGTTGATATGCTGAGAACAGGAAAAAGTTAAATTAAATGTTGCCAGTAGGTAGACATCATTAAAAAACCAAGGAGCAGACTTTAGGTAAGGAAGCTGAAGGCAGATACCGGCTTCACATGTGTTTTAGTTCGTCACACACCAAATAACAGGGGTTTCACTGCCGTCCATGACACAGAAGCCCCAACCACCAGTCACAATGTGTTTCAAAGGCAAATTAATAGTTCTAGAAAAGATTATATGAGCAATTTTATCCCAAATTCTTACCTATAACTTTTCCTAGAAAGAGCGACTTGGGAGAGTTGAACAGTGTGTCCGATGAACTTGGCAGATGGTAACTCACAGAAGGATAATGATCAAGCTGCGGGAAGAAAACAAGACACACTTTTAGAAGAACGTCACCATCCTGCGCTGGAGGCAAATCTTCCACTTGAGGGGGATGACGTCACCCTTGGAACCTCAGTTTCTGGATCTTATTTCATCAGTGCCGACTGAAACACAGCCTGAGAAAATGGGATGTCCGTCCACTGCTTTGCTGGGGTTGTTGGAAAACCACTTGAGCTTGGTAAGTGAAGAACCTTTGTGAGCTGTTCTCCAGCTTACACACATTTTCTGTGGATAATTTACCTGTTGGATTAAAACCCTTGCTCATTTTAATAGAGTAAAATCTGCTTGATCCAATCTCTAGAACTGACCTCTGAGACAGAACATGCTGCGTCTATAGCAATCAAGTTTCTTTAGGACCGTCTAACTGCACTGTTTCCAGCGCCATTTGGCACTATCCACTTACAGACCAATACTGATCTTCAGTAAGTGCTGGACGGGGTGTGGGGGAAACACGCCCTCCTCAACTGTTCATAGGGATGTAATTTGGTGCTGCCACTACGGAAAACAGTATGGAGAGTCCTTAAAAAACTGAAACTACAGTTACCATATGATCCAGCAATCCCACTCCTGGGCATATATCCAGAGAAAACTCCAATTTGAAAAGATACATGCGCCCCAATATTCATAGCAGCACTATTTACAGTAGTCAAGGCACGGAAGCAACCTAAATGTCCATCAACAGATGACTGGATAAACAAGTTGTAGTATGTATTTATACAATGGAATACTACTCAGCCATAAAAATAATGAAAGCATGCCATTTGCAGCAACATGGATGGACCCAGAGATGATCATACTAACTGAAGTCAGTCAGACAGAGAAAGACAAATATCATACGATATCATTTACATGGGGAATCTAAAGAAAAACGTCACAAATAAACTTATTTACAAAACAGAAAGAGACTCAGACATAAAAAACAAATTTATGGTTACCAAAGGGAAAAGGGGTGGGGGAGGGATAAATTAGGAGTTTGGGATTTGCATATACAAACTACTATATATAAAGCAGATAAACAATAAGCTCCTACTGTATGGTGCAGGAAACTATATTCAATGGCTTATAATATGCTATAATGAAAAAGAATATGAAAAAATGTATGCCTGAATCACTATGCTGTACACCAGAAACTAACACAACACTGCAAATCAACTACACTTCAATAAAAATTGATCTTCAGAATATATATGTTCAAATATGAATACATATTGAATGTATGCATATGTGCACTCAAATGCTGAGATTCAGATTCAGAGTTTTTTTGCTTATTAAAATGAGGGCGATTTCTCCTTCTGGCCACAAGGCAGGGACATCAGGCCTGGAGGGGACGCTTTTGCTCTAGTGGAGTTGTCTTTTCATAGTGGAGCTGATTTGGCAGCAGAGGGAAGACATAAATGAAGCAGAGGGAAACAGCTTACAGGTAACAGCTGTTGGAGCAACACACATTTCTGATTATCCTTCCCACGAAAAAGTGCAAATGGTGGTGTCCCAGAATCAGACGCTCTTGTCCTTTGTGTCCCTAAGTGTATTTTTTTGTTTCAGCTTAATTTTTACAATGATACAGTCTAGATATGTTTCCCCAACTGCAAGTACCTAGAACTTTCTGTGCTTCTTTGTATCCACCTGGGAAAAACCTCTTTTGTAACCTTTTGTTTTACTGAAGTGAGTTTAATAATACCTGCTCAGGTAAGCGTATGGCCAGGCATGGGTCACAGGCAAACAGTGCATCACTCTCTGGTAGGGCCCTCCCGTGGGAACTGCGTACGAGAAGCTACTTGCTGGAGGCAGCAGCACAGACTCCAGGAACTAGATCCACTCCCCGACTCCCGCGTCCTGCCCAGTGACCGGCCAAGATGCGCCAAGCTGCAGGCAGGAAGCTGACCTGCTCTCTGGGAGCGTAGGGGAGTGAGCTGCTTTGAGGAATGATGGCTAATTATTAATGACTACCTACCTGGAATCTTGAAACTGCTTACTAGAAACCTACAGGTTATTGAATACTCAGGGTTAAGAGTCAAAGAGTCATAGCTCCGGCATTTTGGAAGTTTTAACTTGCAGAACTGGTCCTGTAAGTTTTTGTGCGTGTGTGCCTGGGTATCTGGTAGCAATGTAATACAAGTCCAAAAATCACAATTAAAGCAAACATTGGCATGGTCGACTGTACTTGAAAAGCTTTCTGTAATTTCAAGTGCATCATTAACAAAACACTTCTTCTGGCCAGAAAATCTTAAATATTTTACATCTTATAAAGTTGTTTCTCTGGAGCAAAGGCAACTCTTTCTGCTGCTGAATATTAGCTAGCTGCTTTGGCGCCATCTGGTGGCAAATATGGGTAACTGGCGCCGTTCCTCCATCCACTTCGATCACCTGTTGTCAAAAGGTTAACTGTAAATTGCCAGTATCATTAGTAAGCTACCTTACTATGCTTCATGGTGATCGCTCCCCCTAAGTACTTCTAACAATTTAATCTATTTAATCTAAAGAACTTAAAAATGGATACAAACAATATATGTTCATTACGGAGAAAATAATAGATTTGCAGGGGAAAAACATGAATGTTAATTTTTTATTCTTTCAATTTTTTAATAGAAATTTGATGGAATCGAACTACCCATACTGCCTTGCATTTACTTTTCATTACCTGACAGTGTAACATGAAACTTTTCATGCGTCAGTAAATATACAAGTAAATCACCGCTTGTGATGAACGACTGGTATGCCGTTTCATGGATATATGGCACACAATCTGTAAAAAACATCAAATTTCTATGTTTAGACTGTTACATCTCTTGCATCTTGGAGCCCAGTACAGTGCTGAGCACACTGAAGCTCCTCAGTAAAAACGGGTTGACATTTGTTAATGCAACTCTTCAAGCAGTGGGCACGAGGTGGTAGCAGTTCACAGATCCACGCGATGGAATTATCTTTCTTTACCTAAAGTGTTTCAAGGGACCCAGACCAGACAGACTTGGCTTTCTGGCACACTTTACATTATTTGTACTGAGCTCATGTAAAATAAAATTTCTAGTTTGTCTCACAGGCTACTTTAAACTTCCCTTTTCTATATTTATGCAGTTGATGAACCAAAAGCTAAAATTTACATTTATTTATATTAAAATTGACTTACTTTGTTTTGAACCTTAATAAGAGCCTACTCAAAAGGGTCAGAACCTTGGTTCTGTCATCAGAGCTGCTGCCTAGCTTCGATTTCTCTGTAAATGTCACAAACACTCCTATGTCTTAATTCATTAATGAAGTCATTCATGAAAACATGTTGCACAGGAATCTAAACGTGCAATGACGTGGAATTCTAACCCAAATAACTTGCTCAGTTAGGAGACTTCTAGAACAACTAAAATGGAAAATACGACAAACAATGAAGATGTACAGGAAGGCTTTAACGTTCACAAAGATTAACCCCCCCCGTGTCTGTGCCAGTTCTGTAATAGAAGAGAAGAGAGGAGAGAGGGGTCTGGCCCACTTTCTCCTTCTCACTTGCTCGCTCACACTCCTTCCTGCTCTGTGCGCAGAAGGAGGCAGAAGGAGGCAGAGGTGAGGCTGTGGGGAAAGGATGCAGGGAAAGGATGCAGTGAAGCGGAGAGGATGGTGGGAAAGGGGACAGCAGCTCTGGGATCCTGAAGATATGACTAAATTAAGGATCCTGGACCATCTGAGTCATGAAATGCAGGCGACTTAGGGAAGTTGAAAAAAATAAGGAAAAGGAGTCTCCTCTGGGTGCCTCCAGGGGTGGGGGTGAGGGGGAGCCAGCCCAGCCAGCACGTTGGGCATCAGCTCAGATTCTAACATCGGATGTCTGGCCCCAGAACCAGAAGATAATAAATCGGTGTTGTTTTCAGCCCTGAAACTTGTATTGAGTTGTTAAGCAGCAAAACAAAACTAATACAAGAAATTGAAGGAAAAAAAAAAAAAAGAGCCTGTGAAACCACGACCATGACTGAACATCCCCCTCTCCCGGCTTGTTTCTCAAATAACAACTACAGTCCAGCTCCATTCCTCCTGCCTCCCAGACAAAAATTGTTACAATGATGCCCATTACTGAACCGCCCCTGCTTTTGGAGAGCCCGCAGTCCTGCCTTCTGCAATCCTCCCAGCACAAGCCCAGCGCCTAAAACAAGCTCTTCCAGACGCCCAGTGACACCCGCATCGCTGCCCCTGGGATGCGAGTCTCTTTGTGCCAATAGTCAGTTCATCGCCTCCCGGCTCCAAGTGCACCCTTCAACACGGGCTCTGTGATGAGCAACAATTCCTTTAATCAAGTGAACTTGATGGTAAACTTTCTCAGGAGAGGGCGCTGCAGGGAAGAAGGGGCTCCCGGACATTTCCAGTGCTGCTGGCTGGGGGGCAGGGAGGGAGGAGAGGGTCTGCTGAGGGTGTGAGGGCAGCCCGAGCCACAGGCCCCAAGCGTGCTCCCTCTGTGACTGCCCAGCCGGGACACCATCCCTCTTCTCCAGCGAGGTCTGGGGCCACGCGCTGGCCCTTCTGTGGGTCCGCTCTCAGCCCTGGTGCCTCTAGGAAACTCTACAGGGGTTTCCTTGTATCTCAAAGTCTCCTTTTATCGCAGTTAATTCTATCAGACATCCCATGTCTACCCTACTGTGTGGTTTCTGTCCGCTGACTGGACCCCAACAGCTACTCCAGGAAGAGGGGGCCACAAGTGCTGAGCGGCTCCTGTCTGCCAGGCTTTCACATCTCGCCTACCTTACGGGGAGTGAGCGGCAGGGCTGAACTAAGCCAGCGGCACTTGGCTACAAAGACAAGTAGCTGGAAGCGGCTGTCTCCGGAACTAGCCCAGCTGGCTCGACCTCGGAGGGAAGAGGTCAGGTACCTCTTAAATACTTGCATTGAAAAGAGAAAATGCATTAAATCAGACCAGGCGAGGGAAGCTCCGCTGCGGAGCCTCAGGGCGCCCGTCCCAGCACTGCACTTGCATCCCCTGGGGCCGCTTTGCTTCGCAGG